AGAGTGAAATTAATAGCCTCAAGTGCTACCCTGGCAGAAGAGTTAGGGATCCCCATGAATTGGGGGACTTGTATCCTCCAAAGAGATCAAACTGGTTGAAAGGTGCAGCTAAGGGCAGAGCCAGTTAAGGTTTCCTAAGAAACTCTGTAGGGAGGCCAGGGGCTTAAGGGGATGAATGGATGTAAGAATAATTTCAGTCCCCAGGAATTAGATGGGAGGATCTTATTGGGTGACACAATGTCCGGGCAGTGGCCAAAACCGAGGTGAGGGAGGAATAAGCCTTTTGCAGGTGGTGGAAGTCAGGGAGGCCCCCAAAAGTATTTATCCATGTAATGATAAATATTAAAATCCGGTCCCAAGGTATTCATAATAACAGAGGTCACCAGCTCCTGGCAAATTGTCAGACTATTGGCCATCCCTTGGGGCAGAATCACCCACTCTTGGATGGAAAAATCTCAACACAGGGAGGGAAAAGGCAAAATGCTGACAGTCTTTTGGATGCAGAGGAATGGAAAAACAGCAATCCTGAATGTCTGTGGCACCTGGGGAATCTCCTGAGATACAACAAACAGAGGCCAGAGGGAGGCCCCGAACATTCATCCTCCCCCCACCCCCCAATTCGGTGATCTAAAATCCAAGAGACATCGCCAAAGGCTTGATTCCAGTGGTTTCCCTGGTGATATTCATCTCTATAATAGGCTTCCCATTATAAACAGAAGGATCCCAGGAGGGCAGCCTGAGTAAGATCCCTCCAATTCCGTGGCGTATTGAAACAACTTTGTACAGGGAGAATAGAATAGGAAGCAGTTTCCAGAGAGGCGGCTCAGGTTCAGATGGAGTCTTTTCCCATGGGGTGACCAGCACCGTGAAAAAATTAACAGACTTGCTGTCCTGTCCCTCGGCCCTTTGGACAAGAAAAGCCACTCTTTCCCATAGAGTCATCAAAAACATAAATAGCTGTGACATAAATAGGGGTGACAGCGATAATGGTGTCCCAAAAAAGTCTCAGTTTGGGGCTGGGAAAGGTGGAACCTGCAGGTAATAAGAAGGTCCTTGGGACAGGTCAGTTGGGGGGGGTCCTTAAGAGAGGAAGAAGACCCATCCCTAGTGACTACACAAAAGGGGATCATGAGGCAAATTCTTAAAAGGGGGGAAAGGAAAACTCTCAAACACTTGTCCGGCTGGTCCCCTCACAGAGTCTTAAGGAGACCTTGACTTTGGAGCACATGTATAAGTCCCCTCCTGGTTGACCCTCTGAGGTGGGCCCAATCTACTCCAGTTCTTACGGTCTCCATGGAAATGCAGATTAGAGCCCACTCAGAGTCCATAGCTTTTCGCCATGGACCCACCAAGCACACTCACAATCACACTCCAGTCAGGGGAAAGACTGATAATAGGCAGCATCTTGGAAAGGCCGGAGCCTTTAACAGGGTGATTTCGGTATCCCACTGCCAGGGACTACTCACCTAACCACGCTGCTGGCCCTCATAGGTCTTTGTGGTCCCCACGTTGGGCATTAAGTGTCGTTCTGACATGTTGGGTCCACAGAACCAGCAAGAGAGCCAGCCATGGCAGTCCACCCAATCTCACCCATTTCACACCAGACAGGGAAGGGGGACATCTGCTAGAGGGAGGATGAGGACGCGTATGGAAAAGCCAGACAAAGACAAGACACGACTCCAGGAGCCTCTGCAGGGAGAAGACTCACTCTACTGCTATCAGGCTTAGGTTTATGTACCTTAAGGGAAAAGGGAGAACAATGGATGGAACCTTTCGGGGGGATTTCCTGCACAAGCCCACAAGCAGTTGAACAGGGTATCCTGGCTCCTCACTCTCCCTTGCTTGCTGGCAATTAGCTTGCTCAACGGTTCCTGACATTTTGTTTTAAGCATAGTAACCTGACATTGTATCTGGTTGTCTCAGGAGGAAGGAAGGAGTCGTTGCTGGGCCCTGCCACGGGAGGGGTCTCTACAGCTGGTCTGCTTTGACCAAGGCTCAGGGGATCATCCTCGACCCCAGCCATTCCTCAATCATCCCCTGCAGCGCTCCAGATGCAGGCACTGGCAGGTGGGAGCAGAGCAGAAATTCCCAAGCATGTGATCATGCAGAATAGGGTCTGGACCCCGAGAACATGAGCACATTTGGCATCTGTCCCCAGGTCACTAAAGTGACAGAATGAGACTCTGACCCTCTCCAGGACAGCCCAAATGACTCGGGGTCATGTCATGTCGCCCAGACTCAGCTGCCCCTCATGTTGCCCGTGTGAAATGTGGTAGGGGCTTCTCTTCAAGTATTGGCTCTGCGGTGCTTGCGTCCCTGAGCCTGTGCCTGTCCCCTCCCCAGATGCCCCCCAGGTCTCCATTACCCTCTATGATGACATCAGGCAGCAGGGTCACAGGGAGATCGGCTTGACCTGTGATGCCTACAGCAACCCGGAGCCTAAGAGTTATAATTGGAGCACGTGAGTCCTGGGTCTGATTCAGGTCTGAGGAGGGAGGCTGGGGATGGACAATCATGTGTGTGGGGGGGGTAGGCTAGGGTGAATTCACAACTGTCTGGTAACAGGGCCTGGGTGCCCAAACTCCAAGGTGAAGAGGAGGAGGGGCTGACCTGAACTCCTGTACCTGAGGAAAGAAGTGCTGGGAGCCAGAGTCTAGTGAGAACGTTGGAATGGACTCCTGGGTGTGAGGGAGGAGGCTGGGCATGGACTTCCTGGGTCTGAAGAAGGAGATGGGTATGCACTCCTGGGTCTGAGAGAAGGGACTATGGATGACTACTGGTTCCTAGGGAGAAGGCTAGGGTTGGTGGCCCACATCCAAAAAAGGAAAATCAACCAGTGTTGGCGTGGATATGGGGAGAAAGGGAGTCTCCTTCACTGCTGGTGGGAATGCCGACTGGTTCAACCTTTTGGAAAACAGTATGACGTTTTTCAAAAAATTAGAAATTGAGCTCCTATTTGACCCAGCAATATCACTTCTGGGAATATACCCCGAAGAGGCAAAAAAGTATAGTAGAAATGACATCTGCACTTGTATGTTCATTGCTGTACTGTTTACAATAGTCAAAATCTGGAAAAAACCCGAGTGCCCAAGAACAGATGACTGGTTAAGGAAACACTAGTACATCTACACAATGGAATACTATGCAGCTGTTAGAAAAGAAGAAGTCATGAAATTCTCATATAATTGGATCAACATGGAAAGTATGCTAAGTGAAATGAGTCAGAAAGAGAGGGACAGACATAGAAAGACTCATCTGTGGAATATAATGTAACAGAACAGGAGACTAACACCAAAGAATAGTAGAGATAAGGACCAGGAGTTTTGCCCCATGGCTTGGAAGTTGGCCTCACACACTGGAGAAAAAAGCAGCTCAGACAGAGAAGGGAACACCAAGTAAAGGGTGCTGGGAGGACTTGCTCGGGTTGGGAGCTGCTGAAAATAGACTATAGACCAAATACTATGGCCACTTGATACCTCTATTGCAAACTACAATACACAAAAGGAGAGAGAAAACAAAAGGGAATGCCCTGTCACAGAGGCAAGGTGGAGAGGGGGAGAGGGTGGAGGAGTGGGGGGATACTGAGGTCATTGGTGGTAGAGAATGGGCACTGGTTGACGGACGGGTAACCAATCATTGTATGACTGAAATGCAAGCACGAATGTTTGTAAGTATGTAACAGTACTTCACGGTGATTCACTAATTTAAAATCAATCAATCTGTTAACTTGAAAAAATTTAAAGCAAGCAAGCTGAGGTTGAACTGCTGGTCTGAGGGAGGAGGCATTGGGGCTGGACCCCTGGGTCTGAGAGAAGAAGTATATGATGGATTTGTGGATCTAAGGGAGGGAGCATTGCAAGGCAGACTAATTAGGGAGAGGAAGGAAGGACTAAGGCATGAACTCCTTGGTCAGTTTTGGATATTTTTGTTTGTTTGTTTGTTTCAGGGGCCCAAATCCAGCAGTGCTAGGGCTTATTCCTGGCTCTGAAATCTGGGATCATTCCTGGTGGGGCTCTGGGGATTGCATTGGGATCTTGGGGGTAAAATCTGGGTTGGCCACATGAAAGGCAAGTGCCCTACCTGCTATCCCTCTGACCCTAGTCTCCTTGGTTTGAGAGGGAAGGCTCACAAATAAACTACTGGGTCTGAGGGAGGTAGCTGGGGATGACCCTTGGTCTGCAAGGAAGGAAAAGCAGAGGGATTCAGAGAGAGAGAGAGAGAGAGAGAGAGAGAGAGAGAGAGAGAGAGAGAGAGAGAGAAGGGTCACCTTATACTCCTATTAGACTGTCTTGCCTGTGGGCAGGAAAATGGGCTCAGTGGGGGACAGGGACCCAGATGTGTGGACCTGGGACTCAGCCCCAGCACCCACACCCATATTATTTTTCTACAAAATTAAGGTAACATGCACACACAGTCTGGGGGATTCAGCCCTGGCAGCAGGTACCCCAGCTCTTCATGCCCAGTTCCTTGGCCTGTCTTTACCTCCTTCCCTTATCCCCACTCAGCACTGGGCCATGCGGGGTCAAAGATCACCTGCACCCAGTAGGGGCATCATTAGCTGAGATACACCCCAAGGACCCGGAGACCAGAGCAAAGGAGGCGATAACTGACCCGGGGTCTGAGGAATCGGGGCAGCTCTGAAATTCTTCTCAGGACTGGGCATTCCTTTCACTGAGGCAGAAGCTCTCTGGGTCACTAAGCAGAGGAGGGCCTTGAGCGCTGTTCCAGCAAGTTCTCTCAGGCCACCAGGTGTGTGTTGGGGGATTCAGGAGCCAAGTGTCAGGATCAGAGTGGAGGCCACACAGGTCCTGAGAACTGGAAGATTCTGAATGAATTCTGAAGGTGGGTCCCAGGATCTGCTGAGCACTTACGGGGAAGTGAGAGGGAGATTCTAAGTGGCCCTCAACTTGGCTCACACAATGGGAGGTGCTGGAGTTCCTCAGTCCCTGTCACTCTGGACTCAAGCAGAGGTCGCGTTCACATCTGCCTGGGTCCCCCAGGACCACGGGGCCTCTGCCCCCATATGCTGTACCCCAGGGCTCCCGGCTCCTGATCCAGCTCACTGAAGAGTTCATCAACACGACCTTTATCTGCCGCGTCTCCAATGACGTGGGGACAGGCCAGGAAGCCATGAGAGTCCAGCTCCCAGGTGAGGACCAGTGGGAACATGCAGACACCCAAGGAGGTGCCGAGCAGAACTGCCTCTGAGGAGGGATGGGAGGGTCCCTGGGGAAGGACCCCCTCAGCCATGAGATTCTCCCAGACTCCTGCCGAGGTCTCTGCCCAGACACTCAGAAAGGCCTTTCCAGGGGCTAGGGCGAAGGTCTCGCCATTGCAGCTGCTGGAAACACCACAGTTGGGCGAAAAAACGGCCTCGTCAGGTTTGATTCAACCTGGGAACCTCACTGTGTGTATAAACAAAAAATTTACCTTATTTTGTCTGCGCTATTCTCGGTGCTGGCTCTATTCTCAGCCGACTCTGCCCTCAGTAATCCGGGAGTCGGGGGCATTCCAGGTGCCCAACCCACTGTTTAATGGGGCAGAGGGGTAACCCAACACATTTTCTTATTTTGTTTGCTTTTTGGGTGACACCCAGGTATATTCAGGGCTTATTCCTGACTGTGCTCAGTGATCACTCCTGGCAGTGCTCAGGGGTCCATAAAGTGTCCCGGGAATCAAACTCAGGTAGTCTTTGTAGCAGGCCAGTGCCCTCCCTGTGTCCTGTCTCTCTGGCCCCTGAACTCAGCATTGACAGTGGCTCTGGCCAACATCAGCAGCCACCCAGAGGGGAGCCCTCTGATTGGTCAGTCCTGGGTCCCGCCCCTGGACCACAGAGTTCTAGGGAGTGACAGTGGGGGCTGCCCATAGGAGTGAGGGGCGATGTTTGCGGGCAGGGGGACCCCAAAGTCTCTGACCCTAACCCCTGTCTCCTCCTCTTCCCCAGGATCTCCCCAGGAACTGTCACCCTCACGTTCAGCTCTCCGGATCGGTCTCTGTGTTTCAGGAATTGTGTTTGTGGCTATGCTGGGGGCCCTGGTTTATTCCCGGGTTCGGAGGCAGGCCCGTAAGTGTCTCTGGAACATTCCCCACCCGTGAGTCAGCCCTGAGCATCCTGAGCCCCGATCCCTGAGCCTGAAACCATGTGAGGCTCTGTGTCCCCCCCCCCCCCCTCCAGGCAGCCTGTCCTGCATGTCCCCTGAGCTGGGCGGCCCCGACCCTGCAGACATGGACACTGAGGCAAGGGCTGGTCTCCCACCCTGAGGGAGTGAGGCCCCCAATTCCAGACCCCCCCCCAGAACTGGGTGCCCATCAGGGAAACAGGGGGGCTGGGGTCAGAGTGACACCCTCCAGCTGTCCCTCTTGTCCCTTGCTAGGAGAGATCCACTGTTGCTCCTACAGAAACAAGGAGGCAGCAGGAATTGGAACCCTGGTATCCCTCTGTAGGTGTTCTGGAGAAAGAACTTTCTAGGACATGTGAAGTATTAGCAGCTGGAGGACAAGGCATATATGAACCCACTGTGCTCATTTACCCTCGAAGAAATGGTCTTCTCTCATTCTCACTGGAGGCCTCCTCCAGGAAGTCCCCTAGTACCCCAGAATGTGTCACCACCTGCTCTGGTCTCCCCCATGCCACTGTGCCCACTCTGGGTCACGCTATGCGGGCCCATGTCTGTGTCTCCCATGGACTATGAGGCCCCGAGGGCAGGACTCTCAGGGTCTGTGTCCCCTTTACCCTGGCCCCAGGCTGGACTCAGGTGTTGGAGCAGGTGACCCCGTGTGTCATCCCCAGAGCCGAGCGGACTGTGCTCAGTCATCCCCAGCCTTATTGCTCAGTCACCAGCAGAGGACGGGCTCCCTGTGACTCAGTCTCCTCATCTGTAAAGTGGGGCCTCCCCGAGCACTTGGGGCAGCACTGAGCCCTGCATGGGGCATGTTGTCCCCCCATCCCCGGCTGTGTCTCTGTGACTGTCGTTCTTTGATGTCACATCAGCAGGGCAGGGAGAAGAGCATTGCGATTGTTGGTGCTCAGCCGGGTCTCCTTCCTCAGGAATGCCCCTGGAAGAACGAAACACTCAGGACTGACTGGGGGCCCTCCAGGGGGTTGAGAAACTGAGTCTCAGGAAGGGGATCTCAGGGTCAGGGTCACACAGCTCCTGAGGCCCAACTCCTGAGGCCATAGTTCATTGTATTGATGATGATTCATGATGAATAACTGGCTGACTGGGGCTCGGTCAGTATCAATCATATTGATTACATACTATCAATGTATTGATAATCTGTGACAGGGCCAGGACAGGCTCAGAAACAGCATGTGTGAGACCCAGATTCAATCACCAGCACCACAAATAAACTAAACAACAAAAAAGAATACAATGAAATCCATGAATAAACTTGCTGAAGCCTCCCCTCAACTCCACTTTAGAACTGTGGGGCCCTGAAGGGAAGGGGGAGCCCCTGGCCCTGCACCCGGGGTCTATCCGTGACTGCCCACAGGTTCCTGACATCTCTCTCCTGTGTCTGCAGGTCGGGAACAATGGTCCTCTGTGTACAGTCAGTCTCCTGCACTACTGTACACTACTCCTCCTCTTGAGGTGAGTGAAGGGTGCGGGTGCTGTGAGGGGTGGTGTGTGTGCCTGCACACAGCCCAGAGGTGGGGGCGGGGAGTCTCGCACAGTCTGTGCGCCCCCAAAGTCCCTGGTGCATCCAGGTAGGAGCTGGCCTCCTGCAGCTAAGCACCCATGTCAGGTGATTCCCCATAGGGAATCACAGACCCTTCGTGCCCACATCTGGGGAAACTCCAGGCCTCTGGGGAGAAGGTCCCACAGGCCTGATCTCTGGGCTGCGGGGCTGCAGGGAGAGTCTTGGTTTTGTCTGAAAGGACCTTGCAGGTCAGGTTTGAATCTTCCCCTTTCCAGGCTGTGTCTTGTGCAGATGTGAATTCTGAAGCCGGCAGTACCTGAGATTCATCGAGAGAGAGGGCGCAAGGGGGCAGAGAGACGGGGCAGAAAATGATGGGGGTCCCTAGACTGGACACTGTCCAAGAACAAACACCCTCTGAAGTTACTCCCTTGCCCCAGCCAGATCCGGGAGTCTCCTCTGCATCATAACACAGTGGGCAGGTGTGAACTTAGGGGCCCCAGCCGCCCCTCAAGCTCCGTCGTGGCTGGAAGGACTCAGAACTCAGGAAAACCTGGTGACTCCTCAGCTGAACACGTGGGATCTGGGTCTGCAAAGGAAAAGGCACAGCGGATCCTGGGGGAGGACATGACCAGGTGCACAAGTAAAGATCATTCTAATAAAGCATTATTTTTTAGAATAATTTTTTAGAATAATTTTTACTATAGTTTTACACTTACAGTTAAACAGTAAAATAGGACAGTGATACCTTGGTGTGTGACCTTCCCTTCCCTTCCCTTCCCTTCCCTTCCCTTCCCTTCCCTTCCCTTCCCTTCCCTTCCCTTCCCTTCCCTTCCCTTCCCTTCCCTTCCCTTCCCTTCCCTTCCCTTCCCTTCCCTCCCCTCCCCTCTTCTTTCTTTCTTTCTTTCTTTCTTTCTTTCTTTCTTTCTTTCTTTCTTTCTTATTTGTAAAAGTCTCCCTCCCTCCTCTTTCTTTCTTTCTTTCTTTCTTTCTTTCTTTCTTTCTTTCTTTCTTTCTTTCTTCATTGAATCACCCTGAGATACACAGTTACATAGTTGTTCAAGTCGGGTTTCAGTCATACAATGTTCCAATACCCCTCCCTCCAACAGTGTACATTTTCACCACCAATGACCCCAGTTTCCCTCCCGCTACTCCCCCTTCCCCTAACTATGGCAGGCACTTCCCCCTCCCCACCCCTTATTTTGGGCATTATGGTTTGCAGTACAGATACTGAGAAGGTTATCATGTTTGTTCCTTTACCTGTTTTCAGCACACAGTTTTTATCCAGAGTGAACCTTTCCAACTGTCTTTGTCATGGTGATCCTTCTCTATCGTTCTCACCCAGCACTTGAGGCAGGCTTTAAACCATGGACCAAACCTCCTTGATTCTTCTGTCCTTGGGTAGTAGTTTCATTTTACGTTTTTTTTCATAGCCCACAAATGAGTTCAATCATTCTGTCTGTCATTTCACTCAGCATTTCACTCAGCATGATACTCATTCTCATGAGTATCATCTCAGCATGATACTCAGCATGATACTCATTTCACTCAGCATAATACTCTCCATCTATTTATAAACGAATTTTATAACTTAATTTTTCCTAACAGCTGTGTAGTATTCCACTGTGTCAATTTACAATAGTTTCTTTAACCAGTCGTCTGTTCTTGGGCACTTGGTTGTTTCCAGATTCTGGCTATTGTGAATAGTGCTGTAATGGACATAGAAGTGCAGGCGTGATTTCTGCTGTGTTTTTGGGCCCCGGAGCATTTTCCCAGATGTTGCATTGCTGGGTCATGGGCACATGATTCTCTGCTTGCTCTCATAGCCCAGAAAACTAAGTGTTGGGATCTTTGTCTCTTACTGTGTTTATCCAAACAACTGCAAGTATTAATGACATATACAACCAGAAGGAAAGATAAAAGCAATGTAGATGTCCCTGGGATACAGAGTGTCTCCTTGAATTGATCTCCCTAAGACAGTTTTCTCCTCCAGATGTTTTCTCTATGTAAAAGACCAATCACACCTAGGTCCTATACCTCAACCCCCTGAGACGTTCTCTAAGTATGCTAGCAGCTCTGCATTAAATGGGCCATTTTTACCACCAGACTGTGGTCCCCTATCTCTCTGTCTCTCTCTGCTGGGGAGACCTGAGGAGAACAGAATGCTGCTTTTGGCCACTGAACATACATGTCATAATCATCATCATCGTTGTAATCTCCGCCGCCCTTGTAGTCGTTACCATGATCATCGTTGTCACCCTCCTCCTCCTTGTCCTTGTCATCTGATGATGAATCAGTCCTCACGCTGAGGAGAGGAGATCAGGTTGTGAACCAGTCCTCACAGCCCACACAATGCTTTGTGAATTCACAGATGACTCAAAAGAATAGTGAAAAACTGGATGACACAGTCCAGGAACAGAAGGACAAAAAAACGAAACCACTCCCCTGGTGGCCCAGTGGCCTCCATCCTCCAGAGGCCACTGGACAGGCAGGTTTCGGCCCTCAGTGGGGAAAATTTGACCTAACCCGAGCCCATAGCAGGGCCAGGTGCAGCCCTGCAGACCCTCCTGGGTGGGGATCTTTCAGAGGGAGAAACTGAGGCCGCAGGGCCCAACCGACAGCACAGCAGGGAGGGCGCTTGTCTCCACAGGCCACACAGATAAGATCCCAGTACGCTGGTGGGTCCCTGATTCTGCCAGAGATGATCCCTGAGCATCTCTGGGAGAGGTAAGACAAACAAAAACCAGGTTAATCTGTGACCACTCTTGGTTCTATTTCAGCCCAGTTCCCAGCATTGAAAAGGGGTGGATGTTTTTGACTGGCTTAAATTTTCTTCCAGGCTAGTTAGAGAGTCTGGAACTTAAAGCAGAAAGGCCCTCCCATTGTTCATCGATTTGCTCGAGTGGTCCTAGTAACGTCTCCATTGGAGACTTTGTTGTTACTGTGTTTGGCATATCGAATACGTCACAGGGAGTTTGCCAGGCTCTGCCGTGTGGGCGAGATACTCTTGGTAGCTTGCTGGGCTCTCCGAGAGGGGCGGAGGAATCGAACTCTGGTCAGCCATGTTTGCTGCATGCAAGGCAAATGCCCTACCCTGTGCTATCGTTTCAGCCCGATAGCTCAGCTGGTAGAGCGGAGGACTGTAGACTGTAAGATCATATAAAGCAGAAATTTCTTGTTTTTTTCAAGTTTATTTTCATAAAATTGTTCACAGAAATTGATTACATTCAATATTTCAACACCAATCCCACCACCATTACCCCTTCCCTCCACCATTATTTTGAATTTTCTTACCACCACTAAAGCCTGGCCCACAGGCTGGTGCTAAAATATTTATTCTGTATTGCTTGTTATGAATAGTATAGGATATATGCTCCATCTGAGGTGCCCAGAGAAATCAGCTCAGCACAGGGTCTGGGGGCAACTCTGTGGCAAGCTATCATCTTTGGAGATTCATTTGTGAATCTCTGGATCTTGGCCATTAATGCGTGTAATCCAGAAATTTCTTTTAACAGTTCTGGTTCCTTCAGCAGAAGCTGCTCCTGGGGTCCTGCACAGAGAAAATCAACCAGCAGGAAGAGAGCACCTGAGGATAGAGAGATACCCAGCCACCCTACCTGGAC